AACATAACATTTCAACAGAAAGTGGTTCTTCTGGCTCCATGGTGGTGGATCAAAATGGTCGAGTTGTAGGTGTTCACAGAAGGCGCTCTTCATATGATTCTAATGTGGCTATATCTATGGAACATATACTTCCTGCTTTGAAAAAAGCCTGGAAAAGGGAGACAGGTCCATTTCACAAGTTGAAAAATACTATTAAAAAAAGACTATGATGGGAAAAATAACACTAGTGGGGAGAGAAAGAGAGAAATTGGAGGCGAGAGAATGAGAGCAATCAGAGACAACGGAAAGAGAGCATTACCAATGGGAATGGTTGAACCAGCTGTTTTCAGTATTGTCTTAGCTGTGAATTGGAACGTCATTTCAGCTGGTATGCAGATGGAATAGGCAAGTGATTCCTGCTGGTATTCAAATGGAAAAGGACTGTGGGATATATATGGAATTTAGACAATACTTGTGGTTTCTTGGTGTTTTTATTATTAATGAAACATGAAATCCAGCTGGAAGGGAATTCAATCCCAAATCAAAGGAAGTGTCCAGTTTTCAAAGTTCTGAGGTTCCAGAGTAAAAAAAAGGCCTTTCATATGACAATGACATGAAAAATTGCATAGTAAAATGATTGAGAGAAATGGGTTCCATGACACCTGAGATCTCATGTCATCCTTAGTCTGCTCCAAATCACTAACTTTTTTTTTTTGAGATCCAATGATCCAATCACCATGCTGACATTCTTTCTGAGTTGCTCTTTAGTCAAAGGGAACTCTGTTGGAATTGTCTCCAATATGCATGTGGCAAGATAAAGAAGATCAAGGCCATGTTCATGATTGACTTATTCCTCAACTGACACTCGTGTCATTTGAGGACACAAGTGGATATCCACATGTGTCCCCTCTGTGTGGATATCCCTATCTATTCTGTTTTTTAGCCTCTTCCTCGTTTTTGCTCCTGTGTTTTGTTCATTATTTCCTACTCATGCTTTATTTCCTTTTATTGTTTTTCTTATTCATGTTTCCTGGCTGTCACAGTGTCCATTACATTTATGTGCCAAAATAAACTGAACTCCGACTCATATGCTAACTGACACAGGCAGGAAACATCATCCGATCTGTTTAAACTGCCACCATCTTAACAAATAACACAAGCAATTAATTGGTATATCAGTCTGCATCAGTTGAAGATACACCCAAAATGTGACAAGAACCCAGTCAAAGGCTCGTGTATATATACGCCCTTTCACTGCTCTGCAGTTTGCTCTGAATTCGATGGCAAAAATGTTCTCTGACTTCTCTGGATAAAACTTCAATTTTGCTTTGGTACAAACTTGCTCAGCATATTAATGACACGAACTGCACTATTTTTATACGTAGGCCTATTAATATAAATTCGTCAGCATTCAACTTTGGAGTTCAAAGCTTGAATTCCACTTAAGACTCAGATTTTGGATCTTTGAATTTCAAGCCGATCCACTGCAACTATAGTAACAAGTCTAACTTATGGAAATTGTTCAATTTCACTCATTGGCGAAGCCATGGAAAACCTGATCTGATAACGCTGGAGAACTAGCATGAGAAACGAAAACACTGCAGACACGTTGCAAAGATCTTCTTTAATCTACGGTACAATCCAGAGACCTTGCTGTTCTCCCTGCCACTGAAGCAGAATAGATGCTCAACCTGCATCCTCAGAAATAAGAGCATAACATCGGAGGAGGTTTCTACCATCAGTAAGAAGTCACACAGAAGTCACAATAGGCATCTAATCATGTAAGTTCACTGCCTGCAAAACCTAAGGCTTACTTGCCATCTTCAGGAAAACAGAAACCAAAATTTCTAAGAAAGAAGTGCCCAAGTTATCAATATTTGTTGTATATGAGGGGTTATAAGTTCCTTCAGGGTATTTCTTCATCATAATTTATGTGTAAATGAGAGGTCTTCCTCAATTAGTAGTTTATATGATTCTACTGCAATTATATGTAAGAAGTACAACAGATGAATCCTCATATTTGCCTAATTTAATTTGTGTTTTGCATGAAACGGAGCCCTGCCATTTCATATGCATAGCTTTATGCTGTGCCTTTCTTTGAGTCTCCATAGGGGCTGTTCTCATCTGAAAAGGAAGATTCTGACTGTTCATACCTTCTTTTACCTCCATTAGCAGCTTTGTGTTTCTCATGATGCCTTTTCAGTTCCATTTTTTTTTTGCACCATTTTCCGGTGGGACATATCATCAAGGCTGGTGCATGCGTAACAGTCACTAGGAAATATAATGTCAAAAAGAAAGAATGAGGAAAATAGTTTCACAGCCAGTAAAAAAAAAGAAACAACTTCCTGTTCCACGGAAGAGAAGCTGATCAGCAACTGTGCGGAGCCTATTGAGGTCAGCATCCTTAACCAGGCAGAAAAAGGTGCTTGCAAAATTGTTGATCGTGGTTCTGGCGCATTGATACGTTTCACTATCAAGAAAACAGAGCTGAAAGGACTCATCACCAATTACCATGTGCTTGGAAGTTTCACCAGCCCCATTGAAGAAGAGGTCAAGCTAGAAACGAAATACTCAAACTTCAGCATAAAAATAAAAGATATCTTCACATTTACTGACCCTGACCTTGACGTCACCTTCATCCAGTTTCCCCAGGAGACTGTTGACCAAGTTATGAGCACTGGTGGTGCATTCCTAGAAGTCTCCTCTGAGGTGACTTTTGCAAGGCAAACTGTGGCAATCTTTCACTATCCTGGAGGGGAAAAGTGGAAGGGAAATTTATGCCTTGGAATTGGTATTGTTGAGGAGTACGAATCAGGCAACCATGAATTCCGACATAACATTTCAACAGAAAAAGGTTCTTCTGGCTCCATGGTGGTGAATCAATATGGTCGAGTTGTAGGTGTTCACAAAAGGCGCTCTCCATGTGATTCTAATGTGGCTATATCTATGGAACATATCATTCCTGTTTTGGAAAAAGCCTGGGATAAGAAGGTATCGAAATTAAACAAGTTCAAAAATGCTATAAAAAGAAGACTATGATGGGAAAAATAACACCAGCGGGGAGAGAAAGAGAGCAATCGGAGGGGAGAGAATGAGAGCAATCAGAGACAACGGAAAGAGAGCATTACCAAGGGGAGTGGTTGAACCAGCTGTTTTTAGTATTGTCTTAGCTGTGAATTGGAAGGTCATTTCAGCTGGTATGCAGATGGAAAAGGACTGTGGTATATATATGGAATTTAGACAATACTTGTGGTTTCTTGGTGTTTTTATTATTAATGAAACATGAAATTCAGCTGGAAGGGAATTCAATCCCAAATCAAAGGAAGTGTCCAGTTTTCAAAGTTCTGAGATTCCAGAGTAAAAAAAAGGCCTTTCATATGACAATGACATGAAAAATTGCATAGTAAAATGATTGAGAGAAATGGGTTCCATGACACCTGAGATCTCATGTCATCCTTAGTCTGCTCCAAATCACTAATTTTTTTTTTCGAGATCCAATGATCCAATCACCATGCTGACATTCTTTCTGAGTTGCTCTTTAGTCAAAGGGAACTCTGTTGGAGTTGTCTCCAATATGCATGTGGCAAGATAGTGAAAGATCAAGGCTATGTTCATGATTGACTTATTCCTCAAATGACACTCATGTGTACAGTACCTCCAGCACTTGGTACAAGGAGAGAGGACACCTTCCCACCCAGTACCATGCCTTATGTCCCTTATTGAGAAATAGGATTATACTGAATAATTCCTCTTTTCTCATTCAGGCATCCTCCCATCGATGCGTGCTTTCATTGTGTAACTTCGTGTATGGTCACCCCCTCTGTGTGGATATCCCTATCTATTCTGTTTTTTAGCCTCTTCCTCGTTTTTGCTCCTGTGTTTTGTTCATTATTTCCTACTCATGCTTTATTTCCTTTTATTGTGTTTTGCTCCTTGTGTTTTTCTTATTCATGTTTCCTGGCTGTCACAGTGTCCATTACATTTATGTGCCAAAATAAACTGAACTGAACTCCGACTCATATGCTAACTGACACAGGCAGGAAACATCATCTGATCTGTTTAAACTGCCACCATCTTAACAAATAACACAAGCAATTAATTGATATATCAGTCTGCATCAGTTGAAGATACACCCAAAATGTGACAAGAACCCAGTCAAAGGCTCGTGTATATATACACCCTTTCACTGCTCTGCAGTTTGCTCTGAATTCGATGGCAAAAATGTTCTCTGACTTCTCTGGATACAACTTCAATTTTGCTTTGGTACAAACTTGCTCAGCATATTAATGACATGAACTGCACTATTTTTATATGTAGGCCTATTAATATAAATTCGTCAGCATTCAACTTTGGAGTTCAAAGCTTCAATTCTACTAAGACTCAGATTTTGGATCTTTGAATTTCAAGCTGATCCACTGCAACTATAGTAACAAGTCCAACTTATGGAAATTGTTCAATTTCATTCACTGGCGAAGCCATGGAAAACCTGATCTGATATCGCTGGAGAACTAGCATGAGAAACGAAAACACTGCAGACACATTGCAAAGATCTTCTTTAATCTACGGTACAATCCAGAGACCTTGCTGTTCTCCCTGCCACTGAAGCAGAATAGATGCTCAACCTGCATCCTCAGAAATAAGTGCATGACATCGGAGGAGGTTTCTACCATCAGTAAGAAGTCACACAGAAGTCACAATAGGCATTTAATCATGTAAGTTCACTGCCTGCAAAACCTAAGGCTTACTTGCCATCTTCAGGGTTTGTCTTTGGTTTTAAAGATTCTTTCTTCACGGGTTCAATAGTTATAAACAACATATACTCCCCAATATTCAAGGAAGTCCCATAAAGAAGTAGTATTAAATACACATTTACTCTCCAGAAGGAGTGAGCATCAAGGTACAATCAATGGGAAAAGGAAGCTGTATTTACGGTGCATGGGAAGAATACAGCAAAACACTAACTGGTAGCATCTTAGGAACAACAAATGTCCACTTTGTTTTAATAAGAGTAATATCACTGTCCAGGGAGATGGAGAGAAGAATTCATCAGCAAGATATGTTAGTGCATCCTTGCACAATAATGAGATGCAGGTATAATGTGAGTTCTTCCTGCTTCAATAGAAACTGCAGAGATGAAAATACTTTGAGACACCAGCAGACCAAATTCCATTTGATGAAATATCCACAATGCAATACAATTTCTTCAGGAGATGTTCAAATGACTGATCTTGTGACGATTGAGGTGTGCCTTCTGGGAGAAGCTCCGACCACACTCTTGACAGTGGTATGGTCGTGCCCCCGTGTGCGTGTGAATGTGATACATCACGTGTGTCTTGTTTGGCGAGCGATAGCCACACACACCACACAAATGCAGGCGCATGTCATTCCAAGTCTTTCCACTCCAAATGAACTGCATCTCAGCCTTGAGGGTCTGGAAGGAAAGTTCAGATATGATGGAAAAATCCATAAAAAAATCTTCAAGCTGAAAACAAAGAGAATGGTTTAAACACAGTTCCGAGTAGATCTCAAGAGGACAACACCAGGTGCAGAAAATCCTCTCAAAGGCCCACCATAATTATAGACCATTTCAACCATTGTATGTAATCCAGCATGTGCTAATCAGACATGTCTCCCGGAGCTGATGTTATATTTTTCCTCTTTCCTTTCAAGCAAAACATGGATTTATAACCCCCAAGCTAACTCTGCAACTTGGGATCAGAGACAAATTGAATCCCATTAATACTTGCAAACAATACACCTCTGTCAATGTCCTTTGGGTATTTATTCCAAACAAGAAGCAAATATGAAATTCTTTCTAATTCTCAATCATATGAACAAAGAATATGAATATCATCGGAGTCTAACAAATTTGCTTGTTGTTCACCTTTGTTTCAATACCACTTTTGTTGTGCTGTGATGAAGGCACATGAAGTTATAAGCCACTGAAATTGTAAAGCTACTTTTGAATCATGCTGCATATTGCTCAGGCTGTTAGATAATAGGATGAAGCTTTACCCGAAACGTGTGTACAACCGGTTTTATTATTTGAGGGTCGGTTCACGTTTACTTACGAGGAACAGATATTTATTACGTTTCACCGTTCTACTACGTTTTAGTATGGATACCTACCCTTCCAAATCATATAAGTAACTTATGCTGTTCAAACTGTTATTGCTGAATGCTGAGGCCTGGCAAACTAAAAGATAAGGGTTCCGATTATTTTGGCCAGGGAACATATCTGCAAAGGAAGAAAATTCATATGGCTATATATGCGGTTATAGGCAACAAAACAGGACAAAACCTTATGACACATTTCATCAGAGTACTCTTCATCCTTTAACCTGTGCAAAGGAAAAACATGAAAAAAAAAACAGGGAAAATGTAATGCCAAATTCTAAAATGCAAAAGCCTTATTTGCAAAATACAAACTTCAAACTCAATTTGATGACTGGAAACCTGGCGCTTTAGGCATGGAATGCAGTTTTCTATGTGCTCTACAATTTCAGATATTCCCTTTCATTGTGCACCTAAACTGTAGAAGGGGTGCTATTCTTGTTTGACCCTGGCCTAATGAGGTTTTCTCAAAACATCAGACACATCCCTTCATTTCTTTTAAGTGTCAATGCCAATTCGTCAACCAAATTTAAATGAATCGGTAACTTACTGCAGGATTTATTTCAGCAGGGACATTCTGGGGCATCTCCAGGTTGTTAAGGGCAGCTTCTTCCCCCTCAGGGTCCTGGTAGTATGAGGTCTGTGACTCTGCATCCCAATCCTCCTGTTCCACCTAGAAATGAAGATGACGGGTGTATCTTGAAGGTTCTGCACAGAGTTCATAATTAAATAATTCACTCACTGGCTGTTCATGCTCTTCATTTTTAATGGTCTCCTCTTCAACAATATCCACAACTTCATCTTTGATCACAGGCTCCTCTTTGGTAGGTGCACTCGAAGAGGGCACAGAAGGAGAAGCACCTGATGCACTCCAAGATGTACTCTGATGAGACAGAATGGTATGATTATACTTCAGCAAAGGGATCAATTGGCTCAATGAGACGATAACTCACTTCAGGCTTCTTCTTTGGCAAGGGTCCATTTTCCTGCAGTAAATTTGATGGCTTGCCATCATTTCGTGCCATTTCTTGGCTACGCCGAGAAGTCTTTGAATGCTGGGACCCTTCATTGTACGA